AACTTCACTGTAGAATTAGATTTTCTTTTTGAGTCGTTATGTCTGAACCTACACTTCAACAGTGCTCAAGGATAAAACTTTAGTGAGTCTCGCCTCAGATTATACCTGAAATGCCGGCTTATACTCAGAGGTAGATCTAGGATTTCAAAAGGATGGGTGCACTATTATGAAGAGGGCAGATCTAGAATTTACCTTTGATGGATTTAGTCTTTAATTCTTGCCATTAACTCATTCTATTGAAATTATAGGTTCAAAAATTATTCTTTTTCTTATAAATGTAGTGATATCACACACACACACACACACACTATATATATATATATATGTATGTATATATATGTATATATATGTGTATATATATATATGTATATATATGTATATATATGTATATGTATATATATGTATGTATATATATATGTATGTATATATATTAGTCCGTGTCGAAACCCGAAAATGTTGGTATTTGTTGAGCCAGTTGACTATATGCTACATTGTCCAATACTACTACTTTAAACATAGACATTTAAACATTATATAAAATTTTAAGTAATAAAAGCCGAATAGGGATAGCAATCTGTCAAACTTAGGGAGTTAGAAAGAATAAACCAAATGAAGAAAGAAGGAAAAGAAAAGAAGTACTCCCCTGCTCAAATCTAGAAAAAGAAAGGAAAAATAGTAAGACAAACATTTTAAACTGATCCTGTAAAACTATAACATTACTATACGTGGTCTAGAGAGAGGAGCTTGAATTCACGTGAAACCATATTCCTCCTGCCCTCCACCTAGTATGCCCCTGTTAATATTAGCAAAAAATTATGTAAATGAAGGTCTTTCTCATGGAGTTGATGAATCAGAATACATAGAGTTAACTTGGGCTAGTACTTACTAGGGAGTTCACTTGAGATAATAGATTGTCTATTCTTGTGGGAAAACAAAAATTTTATTCTATTGTGGTGAACTGTGAACATGTATTAATAACTGAACCATGTCCTCGTCCATATGCAATATCGTATGCTTGAACCATGCTTGAGTAAATGAATTCACTCTTTCCAAGTTGAAACAACAAAAATGGTGATAAAGTTACTTCCCGTTAGCTCATAGTGATTTACAGAAAACCCCAAGTTTCACTTCTCTTTTCTCATTGCAATCATTTCTGTTTGAGTTTTTTTTCCTCCTAGAGCCTTGGAAGTAATATTCTCCTCTTTTAATTCTTAGGGGCCTGGGCCAAATGCTCGAGTTGTGTATATTGATGGTGCGTTCGATCTTTTTCATGCTGGCCATGTGGAGGTAAATCTCTAATTTGGAATTTTGGAATTAGTCAGACTTTATTATGTATATATAGTGTAATCATATGTGTGACTTTCTCCTATATTTAGCATATCTGTGATATTGTTAATCTGGATGGTTTATGGACTTCCTGTGAAGTTTGCTTCCTTCTACTTGCATGTAATGCTAAGTTTCATGGATTACGATGCAGTCTAAGTCATTATCCTTAATGATGTTGAGAATCAAGTAGCATTTTATATTAATTGCAATAAATACTTTTGAACCTCAAAAAGCTCATTATAATAGTAGATGATGTTTAATGATAGACTTATATCCAAACTATTGAATTTTTATTTTTGCCTTTTATACATGACATGCTTAAATCTCCGATTCTAGTCTTTAACCTGCCTATAGTGTCTTCCATTTTTTTTTGCTCTGTAGTTCATTAAAATAGTGTCTTCTGACATTCGGCATCCTATACAGTTTTATGAGTAACAGACAATTTTTCTCCCATCTCAGATTCTTCGAAGTGCCAGACAGCTTGGAGATTTTCTCTTAGTCGGAGTTTACACTGACGAGACTATTAGGTACATTTGTGTTAGTATATTACTTGCCTATTCTTGGTTATCTGTTGCTTTTCGATAACATCCTTTAAGTGATAACCCTGATTTTATTTGTCAATGGACAAACTGCACTGTTGATTAAAAGGCTCTGAGGTCACATCTTTAAGTGACTGAACCCGTAATTATCTCAAAAAATCTTATTTTCATGTCAAGATATGCTGAATGTGATTATCTCTGTATTTTCACTTGCATGTTGAGATAACATGGTTTAGTTATGACTTTCTAAAAGAATTTCACAGTACTCCTTCAGAACCTGTGTTTATCTCATTATACACACTTTTTATGAGTACGAAGATAGAGAATTAACTAATTTTATTTCTTGCAGCGAACTTCGTGGACATCAGTATCCACTGATGAATCTGCATGAGCGCAGTCTTAGTGTACTTGCCTGCCGCTATGTTGATGAGGTCATTATTGGTGCCCCTTGGGAAGTGACCCACGATATGGTAAGTTTGCTTCAACCTTTTAGATGTTTTCTTTCTCTCTTATTTCTAGTTTCTTTAGATTTGTCTACTTAATTGTACTGATTGTACATTCAAAAGATAAGCAAAACAGATGCTTCTCTTTTCCCTTTTTTCCCCTTCTTAAAAGAAATTTCTTCTGCATTTGTTGATTTCACATTGATGAAAAAGTGATATTTGTGTGTCCTTTACCCTTTGCCCTGCCATACAAGTATATAGTTATCCCTGGAAAAGGGGTTCTTTCTGAAAGCAAAGCAGACACATAGTCGCAAATTGACAGAAATGTAAAAGGCCTAAGGTTTCATTAGGTGATAGTTTAAAGATTATGTAAACAATTGATATTCATTAGGTAAAATCTGCATTATCATATATCTGAGGATTGATCGATGGCCCATTAAATTGGTGGACCCAATGACTTGGAGACTTCATACTCTCCCTTTAACTGTATACTAGCAAATTCTTCACTATCTCGTGAAATCATATTATCTTAATAGTACCGAGTAATGACCAGCGCAAGATTTACAGTTCATCACCATGAAAAATGTGCTGCTGTAACTGAGAGCCTAATGTGCTACAGTTTGTGGATCATAAATAGTGCTTGAAACATTCATCAAAACACTTCAAAATGCAGCAATATATGTGGTATTTACAGTTCTTTCACAAGAGTGTTTTGTTATAACAAGCTATTCTTTTTTCTTAGGAATCAATTGTTTGTTTTTCTCTCATCCTACTCTTAGACCTTCAAAGGAGAAAGTATTTACTCTGCATTTCTTGTTGGTGACTAATTTCCCTTTTTTTCTATTTGACATGGACTAGGTAACAACTTTCAATATTTCTGTGGTTGTACATGGGACAGTTTCTGAAAGGAACTCTTCTACAGGAGTAAGTATTTCCACAATGACATTTTCTGTTTTATCGCCAAAAAATAATATTAGAAGCACGTTGCTGAGTAAAATCTTGGCTGCTGCAGGAAGAACATGATCCCTATGCAGTTCCTAAAAACATGGGAATCTTCCGAGTAATTGAGAGCCCTAAAGACATTATAACCACTTCAGTTGCTCAAAGAATCATTGCCAACCACGAGATCTATGTGGTAAGTGACACTTTCACATTTGTTGCTTAGTCCGTAGATTATACAGTGTTTTTACTCACATGCCACTTGGAGAGAGGAGAAGACAAAAAGGCAGACTTGTAAAGAAGCAGTATTTGGATTGACTACCATACCCAACAGTATCAAATTTCTATATATGATATAGACACTTACGTGGATCGAAATTTAGTGTTGTGTTCTCTACTTCCAGTGTGATCTAGTTCATAAAGTGTCGATTGACTAGGAAAGTCAAAAAGCATTTGTGGTCAGAAAAATCACTAGTGTAATAGCAGCGTTACAAAATAGGTTATAGATTTCCTATGATGTAACATTCCGTTGAGAAGCACTTGAAATCCTCCATATGCCACACTTGACTAACCACAATAGAGAATCCTAACTACAGGAGTTCTAGTTGTGCAATACATCACCTTAAGATTCCGCAACTGTAGGAGTAAAATTTAGGGGTTTAACATGTAAATTAAGTCCATTAAACAATAGTTGTGTGTCCACAGCTTATATTTAGGTTTGAAAGCCCATATATGACTCTGCTTACCTCCTAGACCAACTTGCATTCCCATGAAATGCTCACATCTCTCTCTCTGTGTATAAAGCTACAAAGAACATATTATCAATCTCCTGTTATCGGATTAAAATATTTGTTGTAATTTATATTTGAAATATGATTCATGGACATTGTATCATCCACTTCCTATTTGCGGCACATTGATATTATATTTTGCTAAAAGTCTGTTTTCTCTATTAGTACAAAAAACCTTCCCAACCCCGCCATTCCTGCAGGCTGCCAACCTCAACTTGCCTGTTCTGTTCTGAAGAATCACGTCGCATGTCAATATTTCATTACATCCTTTGCTCTAGAATCCTCATTTTTAATGTGAAGATTTCACTGTTCTTTGTTTGCAATTAGTTTTGCTCTATCATGGAGTTTGGCTCTAACGCGCCTTGTTGACTTGTGCAGAAAAGGAACACCAAAAAAGAAGCAAGCGAGAAGAAGTACTATGCAGAGAAGCGGTATGTTTCAGGCGATTAAGTTTTATGTTACAGTCTCCAGTGTGCCTCTTGTGGCTTGTGACTTTGGCGAAGCTGCTCTTTTATCAAGGTAGCTCGTCTTGTGTTTGTATTTGTTTGTATTCGAAATGTATACGTTCAAGGAGGTTTGCGAGATATAAGAAGAAAATTCATAGTCAGCAGATGTAGGTTTTTATTCATTTATTTATTTCTTGGTGGTTGTAGCTGATTTCCTAATCTCAAATCCATATTGATTCTTGTAAGTTAAGGAGCTGTTGTTCCATTCTTATTCTGCAGTTAATCAGTTTCAATTTCAATTACTGAACAGTAATTACAGCAAGTTGGGGGTATTGATTCTTAGAAACAAGTAAACTGAATATTGCTTCTCTCATTTTATGAAAGAGGTAGGGTCTTTTGATGAGGATGACTTCAAGTTTTAGGGGTCAATTATATGTTTAAATTGTATTATTTCCCATGAACATAAAATACACAGGTGTGGCAACTATCAAGTTTCTCCAATTCATAAATAAAATATCGAACAATAGCAAATCACATATTTCCATATTTCTTTTTGTGACTACAAACTCTCAAAATAATTTTATAACGAACTTGTCAACAAACAGCATACGTTCTTTCATATGACTTGTCTTGAACAATTTCATTCCCAAAGTGACTATTTTCCATTCCAGAATCTCCCAGTGTAACCAAAATTAGGCATAATAAAGAAAAAATCATATCCAAGACATGGTAATGATTTGCATTTTTATGTTGAGCTGAGACATTAGAAAACTATAAGCAGCTCATCCATCGACATATTAGATGCCATGACAGTGACTTTTAAAACAACGGCCTCCCAAACCTTTTCAACCCGCAATCTACTACTTTTATCTAGTACTTACTTCACCCTCTTTTACCTAGCCGATGCTTAATTGCAAGAGGAGACCCATCAAGAGTTCTAACAGTAATTATAACATCCTAATCCTTATGCCAGTTACTGTACCAGGGAATCGGTGTTGATGTGTTCTGAGGCGGTTGAGTCGTAGTCATACAATGCTGTTGCTGCCAATGATGCAAACCATCATTTACACTAACTGCACCAGCATCGACTGCAATTCTTGGTTCAACATCCACACTGTTATCTTCAATATCCATAGCTACTCCTTCCATATCTTCAGCATCCATCATATCTGAAACATCAGGTTGACTAAGGATTTCAGCTTCTGCTGCAGAAGGAAATTGAGATGGAACCCAAGGAACAACTGCCAGACATTCTTTCGCAGAACTAGAGTCGTCCTGTTGCGCTGCTTCATTAGCATCAACTAGTCTAAATGCATTTGCTGTGTTATCCCAGAAGACTTGACCTGCACAACATACAAAAACTGATTACTGAGCTTTGAAGTTCATTTTTCACTTAGGTAAAACACCACCTTCTAATCAAATCAAGGAATATTAAACAGCAACCAGCTTATATGGCTCTGCCCATGGATCAAATTAGACTGTCAAAAAGTTCTCGATCAAATTCTGATTTAAACAGTTGTCAAGATCACATCCATTTCCTCTAAAAAGACAAAACAGTAACCTCTTTTTTTGGACCTCTAGCCAAAACAATTTTTTTCTTTCTAATCTAGAAACAGCGCATATCACGGAGCTTGTTTTTATTAACACCTTTCTCAAAAAGACTTGATGCATACAGGATTCTCAATGTTCCGCTCAGCTCCATGATCAGATCACTAAGAAAACAAGTTCAACAAAGAGAACAGGGATTTCTAACTTTTTTAACCAATAAATTCATCAAAAACGAAGACTGAGCTACTTGAGCTACATCTGCATTGACAAAAGTTATTCTATAAAGTACCTAAAGTTTGCCTTACCATTTAAGCTAGCTCACATATTAAATGCAACTCCAATCAGCTCATCTTCAACTGATGTATTGCTAATTTACCCTTGGGAAGATTTACACATCAGCAGAACTCATAGATTCAAGGCCAATTCCTCCTCGTGACCTCTCCCAAATTTAGACAGAGCTTCACTATTACATTTCGTTGTGGAACTCAACAAGTTCTTAAAACAAGAAACAGACCACCAACAATTCGATACTATGTTCATCCTGTTGATCTCAAGGTGATCTAAACCATATTAATATAACCTAAATAAGCTATGCATTCAATTTTTTCAACAAAACTACCAAATGATCTCATATAAACTAAATAAACAACTAAAAGTATAGAGACTAGAGACTTACTTTTGAAACCATTAAGAAACTGGGGATCCACTTTAACGGAGAAATTAGAAGGGGAATGCATAGGCTGTGTGTTCATAGGCTTGAATAGCACAATTGCCCTCTCTTCATTCGCGGGCACACTTGGCAGTTCCTCAATTACTAGACCCCTCTTTACTGCATTGCTTCCGAAGCTGGGATAAGTTGTTGCTTGCTCAAAAGCTATAGGAATCTCTGGTTCTTCAACCTCTTCTATTATGGGAGGCAACACCGCATCCTAAACATAAGAGTAAAAAGGAAAAAAAAACATCACTAACATACACAGGCAGTTCCTTCAAAAACAAACTGAAAGGGGATAGCATTAGAACATTCTTTGATTTATCCTAAGTTCGGCGTAATTAAGTTCTAACAAATCAACTACACATCAATCCCAAACTAGTCGGAGTCAGCTATAGGAATCCTCTATATTCATCCTGCTCTTAAGTTAAAAAGGCAGCCCGGTGCTCTAAGCTCTGGAGTCCGAAGAAAGACTGGATTACAACTGTTTCCACGCGAATCTCCTGATCACATGAAGCAAACTGCAACTAGTACACCAAGGTCCATACAATATCAAATCCAAAAATCCACCTCAATCAACACTATATGCATTCTCCCCTAGTTTTTTTAAGTTCATACAATTCCAATACTCAAAAAATCAAGCTCTACCTCCATTAATTAAAAAAAAATTACAAAACCATCATAATAATCACTTTTTTCAACAGAATTTCATACACTTGCAGTTAAAAACAGAAGAATTTCGAGTTTTACCAGTCGACGAATTTTTCTGGCGGGAGAGGAAAGTGAAAAATCAGAGAATTCATCATTAACATCTTCCAAATCCTTCCTCTTCATCTTCAATGTATAGTATGGCTTCATATTCCTCTTGCGTCCAAAAGAAAACCCTAAAAAGCTATCAGAGATCACTTTGCACAAACCTACCTACTTCTCAAACGATCGATCAGAGCACCAACAAGAGTATTGTTAGGTATAGAATTGAGAGCTAGGTTAATGGAAGTGAAAGAAGAAAGAGGTTGGGAATTTCAGTTATAGAAAGAATGACGGAAGCTTGTAGATTCTTCTCACAAGTCCAGATTTTTCTGGAACTTTGGTGCATATAGAGAGAAAGAAATTGTGGGCCTTACTTTACTCGGGTTGGGGTCCCACACAAGAAACCAAATAGTCCTATTATAATTTGTTATGCATTAATTAGTGTGTCTAACTAATGATATCAAATAAGATTATTAATTATATATTATATTCCATTAAACAATTTCTAATAATGCTAATATAATTCAAATATTGTACCAACTTTGTTACTTGACTCATGATGACACGTACCGTAAGTTACGAGTAGGTTATTCATACATTGGAACAACAAAAAACAAACATATTGGGTAGAATCAACGATTGATAAGAAATTTATTACAATAAAATAGGAAACGCAATGAAAAAGAGAAATAACATCAATATATACATATAAAAAAGAGTACATGGTCCAATCTCACAATCTGGTGAACGAAAGTACAAAGATACTTCAAGAGTACAAGCCTCAAAAGTACATACTTGTCTTGATCCAAAAGACTAGGAAAAAAACTATATATATTTGCATACAGACCGAACTAGGACGCCATCAGCTCACCCTCAAATCTCCGAAGATTTCCGCAGTCAAACTTGAATCATTGTGGACGGCTGGTGTTAGAATCTACATCAAGAAAACAGATGCAACATGAGTTTCAATACATAGGTCGATTGAGCTTGGACATTAAAGCAACATGAAAAGCGAAAAAAGTAAAAAGTGACAAAAGGTCAAATGAATAAAACGATAACAAAAAGTCCAACTACCACAAGTGTAGAAAGAACGGAGTAGTTAAGTAAACGAGCTATCTATAACCTAACTGCACCCCATAAACCTAGAAGATACACTCATGCGCAATTGGAACGTAAATAACTCAAATGGACACCATATAAGCCCGATGAGTACACAAAAGAGTTAAGGATAACACTAGCTATTCCAAAACCGAACCATCCAACCCTAGACAAAAATAATGACAAAAGCATCCCCGAAGAACCTAATAGAACATCAAGAACCCAATAAAACATCATGTCATGACTTAAAACAAACTAAAAGAAACAGGTCTAGACTCTAAACACAATTAGTGAACATGCACCGAGGCCTCAAACACCATCTAGTAAAAATGTGAGACCTCAAACTGTAGCTAAAGAAAGGATGTCAGGCCTCGAACCATGGTTAAAAGGCTTTGAACACCTCCAAATCATACACTCTTCTTCATGTGGACACGCACCATATAACAAAAATATCTTCAAAATTTGGTTAGATGGAAATCCAAGAACCGACCCAATATCATCAACAATGCTCGAAATCACCAAAGAAACATCAGGACTGAAACATAAGAGAGGTTATGGATGAACCGTTACAAGAGTAGAGTTATCTTCTGGCTAAGGATTCATAATATCATACCCTACATCTTCTATATCAGTTTAGAAGAGTTAATTGGTCTGAAGTTATGTTGGAGAATTTTCTAAGGCGAGTAAACTGATACAATCTAGAAATCCCTCTCAAAACTAGTTAATCAACATGAATACACAAACACAAACTCAATCTAGTGATTGGTAAGGGGGAGTTTACCCCAAATTTAATCACATATGCTTTGAATCTACAAAATCAGAGTTTTTCCTTTACAAATCGCTTATGGTCGACTATCTAATGAATAATAACAATGTAAATATAGACGTTTTGACACCTAAATTTTAATAATTGAAAATAAACCCAAAAATAATATTATGGGACTTGTACCGAAAAATTATAAAATTGTCTTTGTTAATTGATCTCACTCGGCTTAAAAACATGTGCCCCAACAAGTTGCAACTGAAATCAACTCAAACAAAGCTCCATATCTAATACTATCAACTTCTAAATTTGCGAAAATGATCTGAATTTTTGAGTTGATCACAAAATATATCCCCATTAAATTAACCCTGAGAACTTAAAACTTGATTGCGTTCACAGTAGTCAACTGGGTTGGATCAACGAGGACTATTCTCCGTGAACATCTAAACTCATTCATGAACGTAAAGAGTTGTCGTTTCATCGAGAAGTTTCTTATTCGCGCCGCAAACTCCTTCCTTTCGACGTCAAATCACGCATCTTTCATTCAAAGTGCTCAAATTTTGTTATGTCTATCACATATATTAGCTTACTCACATTATTTATACTCAAAACTGTAACGACCTGTTTAGTCGTTTTGAGCAGCAGATTTTATTTCTGGAAAAATAGGCTGAGACGACGGAACCCACGACGGACCGTCATGAGCACGACGGACCGTCGAGGGGGTCTCATTCCAAAATACTTAGAATTCTGAAAATTGGGTACTGAAATCGACTCTCTGAACTTCGTAACGAAATGACAGGACGGACCGTCACAGGTGTGACGGACCATCACAGACTCTTAAGAGAAATTGAGTCTCTGAACTCTGTGACGGAGCACAGGACGGACCGTCGCAGGCGCGACGGGCCGTCACAGGCTGCGTAATCCCAGGCTGGGTCGGATTTCTGTAATTATTTTAAGGGGCGTTTTGGACTATTCCTGCTTTAATTATAAAGTTAGTGGGTTAATTTTAATAAGTCTAATTACTTGGGGGTTAAAAGAGGTAACCTTGAATTAATTAATGGGTTAATTCACCATCTTTTATACTTAATTATATGCTAATTAGGGTAAAAGAGAGAGGTTTTGAATAAGAAAAAGAAAAGAACAGAAAGAGAGGGAGAAAC